CTGGTTTCTAGGAGCCTGCACAAGAAGTTGTGACTCCACTGATGGGCAAGTTCAAGAGAGTGGTGGTTGCTTTGGGCTGTCTGTTGCTCATGGCTGTGCATCAGTGACAGAAGGTGTGCTGAGGGCCGAGTGCTCCAGTGGTGAGATTCATTTGTGCAAAAGGAGATGTCTAGAGCCAATTCAGATGCACTAGAGTTATCCAAAACATCCTGAGGGGGCTGGCAGATCTGACACAGAGCCTAGAGGAAAGCTGCAGGCTGGGTGGGAGAAAATTTAATCTAAGGGCCTGGGTCTTATAAAGTGAGAGTTGTCCTCCTCCCAAACAATCTGTGTAGAGGCACTGCATGCACGTGCGCTTGTACACACCACTCACAGTTTTACCAGCTCATTATGTTATCCAGCAGGATTTTTGTTGTTATTGTTGTTTTGTTTTCAGCAATATAAAAGAAGGTCTGCTGACAAAAGAGAGCCTTTTTGCTGGGAGAGCTTGCTGAGTTTGGGAAACTGCTTTCAATGCTATTGGCAAACACTTTACAGTGTAAACACGGCCTACATCAGGCAGACAAATAAGTGCAGATGCGCCTTTCTGTGGGAACCATTTGGTGATAGACAATATATTTAAAAAAAGAAAAAAAAAGAACTCATCAACTTAATTGTGGCCAATTAGACATAACCCCTTCCTCTCATTCCTGAATCCCCTCCAATTTTGGCTGCCTGAATGGGAAGAACTCCTATCACCTGTTTCATTATGCAGATTGATATTCGAACATCTGAGAACAGTGCTGCTTTCTGCACGGCAAGGCTCCAAATTGCTAATGAAATGGCTCTGCCAGACAAGCCACTTAAAACCGCTCTCGCTGCTGCTCCCAATTGCAGGGGGAGTGTGAAAGGGGCTGTGCACTCTGAATGTGCTAATAGCCCCCAGCATGGGTGTTTATTGCTCTCCAGAGCAGTAAGATTTCTGGTCTCTGACTCTGAGAGGTTACTTTCCCAAAGCCAGTGTCAGATTTGGACGTAATGCAGCCCAATTTCAGTTTGCAGAAAGAGGGATTGAAGGGGTGAGCTACTGATGGGCTCTGAACTCAGGTGCCTCATGCCCAAAAGCCATTCCAGCCCTTCAGGCATACTTAATGCCTGTTTCTCACACCCAGATTGGACAGCACAAGGTCCCCATTCTGTGGCTTTCATCTTCCACCCAAAATGTGTGATGGGAAGTGAGCCCTCTCAGGAATCTTGTCCCTTGGGTGAATGAAGTCACATCATCTTGTATATGATGGGTGTATCACACGCCTGACGCCATGTGAGGAGTGAGTAGAAGGCTTCAGCTGGGGATATACCTCCTCTTGGGTTTATTTGGATGCAAGACTACAGTCAAGCCCTATGGGTACCTCCCAGGCAGTGACCCCTCAAGGTAGATATGGGGAGGGCCTGTGCTGCAGGGAAATGTGAATTGGGACTTAAAAGCAGATATGCAGACCCTGTGCAGCCGTTTGCTGCTTCCTATGATGCTTGGCAGCTGGGATTTGCTCAGCAACTGGTGAAGTTGTTGTACTTAGCTTTCCCTCCCGTTATCACAATATTTCTAGATGGAGCCTCACAAGGGCTCTTGTTAGTGGATACCTGGGGCAGAGTGGCTGTGATTTAGGTCCTTGGCAAGAGTAGCATTTATTTGAAGTGATCTAAGAGTACTCTCAGTAATCTAAATCCAGACCATTTCTGTCAATATCCATAGTTAATTCCTTTTTCTGTATGGTAGAGGCCTTGAGATTACCTTTGCACAGGCTGGCTCCATGTGATTGCTTCTGCATTGTGCCTCAGCTCCTGTCTCATCATCTCTCAGACTCATCCTGGACTAGTCTGCCAAAAGCGTTACCTCCTCCAGGCCTCAAGGCAGATTTACGACTGGCTTTCCTTACTGAGCTCTTTATTATCGATTTTTAATTATCAAAGTTAATTATCAATTAACTTTCCTCCATATAGATTTTCTCTAACTCCTCTACATGAGCTATTCCATCTTGTTGCCAGGATAAGACACACTCCTCAATTTACCCCGTATGTTTTCAAAGAAGGCTTGCATGTCTTGATGCTCCTTCACTATGAGTTATGTGGGACATAAGTCAGTTCAGGAGCAGCCAGTCATTTCTAGCCCCAGAGAGATTCTCTTTTTGGAGAATCCTCCATTCCAGGACTGAGCTGTGCTTAACAATAACAAGCAGAAAACATAGGGATTTTTCAGGTGTTTTCTGTTGCCAGAAGGTTGTGTGCAGGTTACTTCTCACAGGTGGAGAAGCTAGCAGCTTTTCACTGTCTCCATGGACTGCTGAGTCAACTGGGCATCAACTGCCTTCAGCTTTGCAAACATAGAACCAGGTGGCTGAGGATGAATGTGTGTGCATGTTCCTCTTAGGCATTCAAGTTAAAGATCTCTGGTGTAGATCCCATATGGAACCTTTTAGACTGCTTCCTGTCTCATCGTCCACCAGACTATGGTTGAAGTGTGTCTGTTCATGTGGGTGTGTGGGGATGAATTTGCAGATTTGCATTTGCAGATCTGTTCTGACTGAGGAATGAATAAAGGGTAAGGGATGGTGAGTGCATAGCAATATGTTTTTTTAGAAACCGTCAGCCTGATTTCCTTCCCTGGAAACATGCTTTTCCAGTTACAGAGAACAGTCATTTACTTCAGGAGGAGTGTTTTCAGTTATTTATTTATTGCTCAGGAGATTAAGAATGAGCTACAGAACCATTTGCCTTTGGCTGCCTGGTGTTAAGCTGAGCCTGGAAATGCAGGGATGACAAAGGGTAGTTTGGGAGAGGCATCACTAGCCCATATCACAGTCCAGTTTGACTCAAACTTTTCTAGTTTGAGTTAATAAACACAGTGACAGAAACAAACAAAGCCAGGGATTTCATCACTGGGAAAAGAGGATAGAGGTATAAAATAGATCTTGGCTGAGGCCTCTTTTTTCCTTAATACTCTTTGGGCCCAGAGAGAGGCTGTCATAGCTTCTGCCTCTGCAAAGGTCAGGCTGCAGCTACATCTGCACTGGCTGCGCCTGTCTGCTGCTTGTCCAGCTGCCTTTCCTATGGAGGTGGGAGCTAGGAAGGAGATTCCCCTACCCCCACATTATTAGGTCTGCATCCTCCAGGGAAGCAAGTCACCCAGTTTACAAACCTCTGTTTTAGCAGGTCAGGAGAGAGACTGTATTCCTTTGTGCCTGGTGTGGCAATGTTCTTCTCTCAGTGGTTCTCGCAAGCTGCTGCTCCCGTCAGCTTGGTAAAGAGAATAATTTCAGCATGCTGCAGTGATTTTTCTCTCCTCAAAGTTCGCTTTCATTACTGGTTTTGATGACTATGAGCTTGTCTTTGTCCCTTGAGAGCATGACAAGGTTCTAAGAGGCACCTTACTGCCTGTTTTATGCTATGTGAAACTTCTTCCTTTTTGGTGATGTGCCAACCCATGTTTCAGCAAACAGGCCTAATGCTTCATTTCGGCTTGAAGTGGTGGGTCACTTGTTCTCTCTCACATACTCATATGTGCACATACAAGTGAGCACATCTCATCCAAACTGGAGAGAGAATTCCCTGAACAGCCAGATGAGTTGACTGGTGCAAAGAAATAGGTGCCATACATTCATTCCAGTGGTGTGAACAGGGCTGCGACCTGCTCTCATACAGAGCTCCTAATTGGCCTCATTCATGAAATGCTGTGAACTTAAGATACACTGTTTTCCTTCCTCTAACAATGGGCATAGATATTTGTGTGGTACATTTAGTAACTTTGGGGTCCTTTTCTAGGTTCACTGGGTTCAGCACGGGGTTTCAGCCAAATTCAAGAGTCAGGTTTAACTGTCTTTGGAGCTTTAGGTATAGACTGTAACCATGTTCTACCATAAAAATTGCTAGCACACAATCACATATATTCACTTACTCGCAATCTGTTCTGTTAACTAGGTTTTGTCTGGTTGTTAGCATGTTCTTAACATGCTTCTTAAAATCCCCCAAAATATAGTGTATGCTGAGAGTCAACAACTAGTATCAGGCAAAGTACTACTTGATGCATCTAGAGAAGAGAGGGCTTTCCTCCATCTAACCTATCTGTGCATTTTATTTATTTATTTTTTTAGTGCTTCTTAATCAGTTCTTGGCCTACAATTCTGTGCTTCTTCCAATCTGCTGGTTCTAGGTGTTTTAATGGGTGTATATACTTGGCAGTCTAAATTTTACTTCTCATAAAACTCCAGAGATCATTGATTATGACTTGAATTAAGCGAGTGTCATATAAAATCTCACAGCCTTGCAGCTGTAGGGGAATGTTATGAAGAATGTGTTTCCAAGGAGCAGCAAGAGGTTTGGAGTATTCCTTCTGCTAGCTGTGTTCTGGGCATCAAATGTTACTAGTGCCTTGCAACCACTAATACGATTTCATTTGGGAAATTTGCCCAAGAGTTTGAAAGCTGGTCTTTCATTTGGTGAATCGGGCGGGAGGTGTTCTGTCACTTTTCATTAATTACTTTTCTACTTCAGTCAGAGTCAGGAAGCATCCACAGAACTGGAAAAGATAATTCTTAGAATCTGAATGGCACTGTGTAGATAAAATACACAGAGATTTTATTTTCTTGAAAATATTTCCTTGACTGTGTTTCAACCCCTTCCCTTCCCTGCCTCCCTATTAGCTTTTCCTGTTCTCTTTCATTTAGCCTACTTTTCGTCTTTGATCACTGGCTATTTTATGCACTTAATCCAGATTGGACAAAACGATGAGATTGCTGAATTTCATTCCTTGTTTTTTTTTAGACACTAACAAGAGCTGTTTATATTTGAAAACAGTGACATGTAATATCCTCTCAATAATGTTTTCCACTTGACATTAGAACAATGTCGCGACTACCTTTCATGTTACAATGCACATAGGTTCTCTGAAGAGAAGGTGTTCTCCCAGGTGGATGACTGCTTCATGCTGAAAGATGTTGAGATTTGTTCTTCCTCTGTCTCTCCAGTTCCAGAAACCTAATGACTTCTCGCCCCCTTTCCGCTTTGGGACGGTTCCCAATGGCAGCACAGAAAGGAACATTCGCAACAACTACCCTGAAATGCACAGCTACATGGTGAAGTTCAATCAGAGAGGGGTGGATGATGCACTATTCTCACTGAAGACTGGGTGAGGCTTTCTTCTTTGAAAATTGCAACAGAAACCTGACTTTTTTCTCTGCTCATGTAGACACTTTTAATGCACTTTGAGCAATGAATCTCCATTATCATTTCATGGTGAAAACTAGCAAGAATATGCAGAACACAAGAGAATACTTCTGTGATTATCTTAGCTAGGTTTTTACGTTTTTTTTTTTAAAAAAAAAACCATGTATGAGAATTTCTGTGTGAAAAAGAGAAAAAAAAAAAGTGGATCTTGCGTATCCTTGTGTGTATTAGCCTCATTTATACTAGTCCCAGTGCTCTTGCTTCAGCCAGCTGTTTCATGCTGGTGGGTCCTTATGCATACACAAGAAAAACAGAGTTCTGTGGGCAAAGTTTGTTTCAAACCATTTGCATTGTCATCTGGAAATTCCTTTATTTTCCCTCCTTATGTGTATAAAAGATTATGTTAATTAGGGAGCCTTGTCAGACTAATCCCACCCCAGTGTATCAGCAGCTAGTACAGTGTAATAGAAGGTGTGCTTGAAGCTAATAGTTTGCAAGTGGCCCTTCCCTCTGGAATATTTTAGCATCAAGAGCCTAACAAATGCTGTTTGAATAATGAGGAAGTATATAAAATCTGAGCATTTGCTTGGGTAATTTAGGAAATATAGGAAAAAAAGTCATTAGGAAAATAATATCTTTGAACAGCTCGCCTAATTTTAATAGCAATGAATCTGTAGAGGAGCTAACTTAAAATACCCGTAATATCTGCAAGTCCTTGGTGCTTAGAATCATACACTTCTATCCATAGCTGACCACTTTGGTTGTCAGAACCTAGCTTTACTGAAAAAAAAAGTCATTATTCTTTACACCTGTGTTTCATCTTTATGAGAAAGTTCATTCCAAAGCACGAACAAAGATGTTCAGCCAATTTAATTACTAGATTGACTGAATGTTTCTAAACCCGTTTGCCAGGATCAGAAGGTGCACAGACCATTATAAATTATTGTATCATTATTGGATGCCATCTGAGAAGGTATATTTGCCAGTGTAGTCATCATCCAGGAAATAAATATGCTTTGTCCTGGAAATATATAGATGAAATGGAGCTCAACACTTGCTGTAGATGTCATCCTGGCTTCATACCCACGCTTCGGCAGACTTCCCTGAAGATACGCACTGGGACTGAAATAATCACCATTCTGAAAATATATGTGCAGGAGAGGGATCGAAAAGATAGTGTAAGATTGTGGAAGGTCTTTGGTCTTTTATCAGAAAGTACTTAATTCCAGAATTAGAAAACTTACTCGTTGACTGTCTCTGGATATGTGGAAAATGCTCCTTTCTGAGACTCCCCCCACGCCCAAATGAATTTCACTATTGGGGTGAGAGGAAGCTTCTCAGCAGTCTGTTGTGCTATCTGCCCTTTTCAGCCAATAATGGGGGTTTCTTTGTGTTAAAACAGAATCTTTCTCTTGGTTTTCAGCTAAGCATTTTTTTATTAAAATGCTACTCAGCATAACCATAAAGCTGTCGCCACAGCCATTTGACATTGATAAAGATTCAGTAGAACTTTTCACAGTAACTGGGGAATTAAATACAATGTCCTAGCTGCATTTAATTTTTTTAAAAAATATTTTGCCTAGCTAAATCGTGCCAGCAGTTTGGAGATAATCTTTTCCTTACTGCAAGCCCTGCTTTGCTATATAATATTGATATACTCCCTATAGTATTTTAGGTTCCTGTGAGATGAAAGGCATTATAGAAATGTAAGCTATTCTTAGGACTATTGATATCCCCATGACTTTCCCTTCATTCATTTTTTACCTTGCAGTATGTTTCTATTCCAAATTTTATTTCAGATGAGAAATGTTGATTATCAAAGAGTCAAATATAGTCCTCATTTATAATCTAGATCCACCTGAAAATAGTGTCTAGGCAAAGACTTTTGTTTTTTCTGATGAAGCTGAAGATGCAACCTGTTATCTGGAAAAGGTTTATTTCTGCCTTAGGCTTAGCTGGGAATACCTTTAAACTCATGCGGATCTATCTTTTCTGTACTATACCCCTCTTCTTTCATTCACCTGTGCAGGAAGCTGGATGCCTTCATTTATGATGCAGCAGTGCTAAACTACATGGCTGGCAGAGATGAAGGCTGCAAGCTGGTAACCATCGGCAGTGGGAAAGTATTTGCCTCCACTGGCTACGGCATTGCCATCCAGAAGGATTCAGGCTGGAAACGCCAAGTTGATCTTGCTATTCTACAGCTTTTTGGAGATGGTAAGTGATAAGAAAAAGAGGAATTGGAGTTTTATTAAGCAATAGAAAACTTTTCATGTATACAATCGATGTTCCATTCCCCTGACTTTGATGCTTCAGATGTAAGTAAGAACAGAAAGTTAATTGCAAAGGTTTGTTAGAGACATTGAACCAGTAATGTACAGGATAGTACTTATTTTATAATGTCCATGCAGGGTAGCAGTAACATGAAATGCAACTTTAAAAGCATTTGAGATCTCATAGAATAAATTCAGATGTGTGAAAAATATCTTGTGAAAACAAGATTTCTTTCACAAACTTTTCAATACCTTTAGGGTTTTGCCACGACCAAAATGACAAATAATATTGGACTTTCCATATCATCCCACAAGTTACGTGTCTAGAAAGAATCAAGTCATATAGAAATTATCAAATTAAGAAATGAATGTTTCTGGAGGAAATAGTAAATTCATTACTCAAAACCTCAAAAAAATGAGGATGGACTTGAGACTCAGAAGTATACTTTGGTGTGAACTATTAATCAACATACTATAGTTAGCTGGTTCATCTCATCTTTAATAGAAAAATTGCCAATATTTAAAAAAATATTCACGGATGACAGTTTCCTTCAAAAATTTTTCTTTAGCTATCCATTTTCACTCTGTATCACTCCTTTCTGAGTCCTCTATTTTTGAATGATCTAAAATCACAGCTTGTTTTATTTCTAACGTGGTTTTTATTTTCTGAAATCTGAAAAGAATGTATGATATAAGAAATACAGAAAGAACATAGACCTGACACTGCTTTATCAGAAAATTGGCCACCCGACTGACATGCCTTCTAAACAGACGAATATGGATTATTTCAGAAAAAAAAAAAAGACATAAGATCTCTATAAAGCTTTTAGGAGTATACTACTACACCACATAAATATATGGAAATTTCCTCTGTTACTGGATTGAAGGTTCAAAATGTGAAAAATCTGCTTCCTTAACAGCAAGAAAAGAATTGCCAGCCTGCAAAATTGGTTTGTTTTTGAATGCCTCAGCGTGTGTGTGTGTGTGCACATCTATCTTTCTCCCCGTGAAAATATCATAATGGGGATAAGTGGGGTGTGAAGTTAGACTACAGTACATTCGTTCCTACTTTATACAAGTTAATAATATTTTTGGTTGGTCAAAGCTTGGAAATGTCAAATTTGGACCAGAGACTAATAAAACCAGGTAAAAATGCATAATATTTTTGAGAATAGATAAAAGCATATGCATTTGCATACATTTCAGAAACATATTCAAAACCAGACATTTGATTTTTAGAAAGCAACCTTTTGAATTTTGAGCTGGAAATGAACGATGGTTTTAATTAAAAATGAGTCATTTCTATCTTCTAGTACTAGTCACTGGTTTTCCCCTTTGTTAATGTAATATGAAAGTGGAAGTGTATGAGAGGAGATCTTCAGTCAGCTGGTAGACAACTTGATCAGCATCTTGCTGTGACATTTAGGAAGTGGGAACCTGTTCTTGTGCTAGAGCTTTCCAGGCTAATATCTAACTTTGGAAAAATCATGTCACCTTAGCTGTGACTAACTGTATGTGCCCCTATCAGAAGGGTAGTCAGGATATTTCAGGACGTAAGTTCACAGTGACCACATAACAAATGTGGAAACAGAGTGTGACCACTGGAAATGACCTTGGATCAGCTTCTCACATTTAGTCTACTTCTGCTTGAGATCCTCAGTCATTGCAGGGCTGACTAACCTCTTTACTTCTCTCTTTCTAGGGGAGATGGAGGAGCTGGAAGCACTGTGGCTCACTGGTATTTGTCACAATGAAAAGAACGAGGTTATGAGCAGCCAGCTGGATATAGATAACATGGCAGGTGTTTTCTACATGCTGGGAGCAGCCATGGCCCTCAGTCTCATCACTTTCATCTGCGAGCATCTCTTTTACTGGCAGTTCCGTCACTGCTTCATGGGTGTCTGCTCTGGCAAGCCTGGTGTGGTCTTCTCCATCAGCAGGGTGAGTGTCATTAGTTAGCAATAAGGAACAAAATTTTATTTAGGCAGTCCTAGGTACTGGAAATGGGGAAATCTGCCAAGACTGCCTGGAATGTGGGTGACATAGAGTGTCAATCTCCAGTGCAAATTCTGATAGCTTTTGCATGTTAATATTGCAAGAGTATCTGCTGTTTTTCTGTGGGAGAACTTTTTTTAAGAGTATCTTGACATACCTAGTCTTTGCTGGATTATGGTCACAGATGTGGAAATTTTACATGGAAATGAAAATTCATTATAAAGTGAGGTTAGTTGTAATTGTTTGCTCCTTCAAAGGAGTTCACAAGGAGGCCAAATTTGGGAAGAAGTCAAATTACACTGAATAACTTGAAAAAAAAAAAAAAACGGAGGTTTTCGTTGTCCTGTTTATTGCAGCAGTTAAGCTGAACTTGTTAGACAAGTCAGAAGTTTCTAACCAAAAGTCACGCTCTAAACCATGCAGAAATTCTTCTAGAGAGGATGACCACATGAACTTAGCAATTGCTTTATGCAAATCCTGCTTTAGGGGATAATATTTACATCTAAAGCAGATTCTAGTCATTTCTGAGTCATCTCTTGGCTTTTACTGTAGCTAACAGTGTCTCACTTACAGCTCTCTTCTTCATTCAGGCACTGGTCGTTTCTCCTGATCCATTTTGAAGTGAGGTCAAAGCTCAGCATTTTTGACTCTACTGTCTGTTGCAACAGAATTAGCTTTAATTGTACAAAAAGTATATCATTTCAATATTGTTAAGGAGAAATGATAAAGCTCTTTTAATGTGGGGACACAGCCTTTCTTCTATTTTGTTGTTTTCCATCCTGTCCTAGTCTAGAAATGAGATGGAGATGAAGTTTGGTGATCCTTAGCAGAATATAGATTCTTTCATTTTGGGATTACCTGTTAGACGTAGTCTAGGTTTTTAAAATCTCTAAGACTTAATCATCTTTTAGCTGCTGAGATAATATGATGTGGTGGTGTCCATTTCACAACTAACATGAATCAGCAGGCAACATTTGGCAGGCCAGGGAATAAATAAGACTCTTTGCTTCTGGGAAAGGCCCTGTCATGGTCTGTGTCATGGTGAAGTGAACCAATAGGGAATATGGAAGAATTAGCCACTACTGCTGTCTGATTTGAACAGAGGACTTTCAGGGGTGTTAATTTGTAGTCTATTATCATTGTTAAATTTAACTGAAGGCAATTAAAAATTAGGGTACCTTGTGCCACTATATGCAAAAGACTTACATTCTCATTTGGCAGTCCTGCTGTTTCTTTATGTTTCCTTTTCTAATTTGTGCTGATGAATAACAGCTAGGTTTATGACAAATGAAGCCGTTCCCTTTTTAAGCAAGCTCGTTTCTCATTGATTCACCGAGGTCCAGATGAATTTCAGAGGTTAAAAAGACTTACTTCCTCTCATCTACACAGAGTCCTTGGTCTTATTTTGATGCTTTACTTCCCCAGGATATTATTTCTCCATTTGCAATTCCATATTACACCTATTGAATTTGAATAACTCTTACATATGTTAGTAGGTATGCTTGCATCATGCTGATATGCCATGAAATGGAGGAAGAGATAGGGGGCAAGAAAGAAATGTAAGAAAGCTAGAGAGGTCAAAAAAGGAAGGTCTGGTAGTGCAAATCTGATTGCATTTCCTTTGATGGTGCTGTGTGGTGAAAGGTTGGCAAGTTTTTTGTCCCACAAGAATGCGCTGTCGCTGTGCATTTTGCTTCCAGCACCTCTGGTGTTATCCTTTGCCAGAGCATTCACCTTTCTGTTTCCTCTCATTTCAGGGTATCTACAGCTGCATCCATGGTGTGGCCATTGAGGAACGCCAGTCAGCAATGAACTCCCCCACAGCGACTATGAACAACACCCATTCCAACATCCTTCGCCTGCTTCGTACAGCCAAGAACATGGCCAACCTGTCAGGGGTAAACGGCTCACCGCAGAGTGCCCTGGACTTTATTCGCCGTGAGTCATCAGTCTACGATATCTCTGAGCACCGTCGCAGCTTCACCCACTCGGACTGCAAGTCTTACAACAACCCGCCTTGCGAGGAGAACCTCTTTAGTGACTATATCAGTGAGGTGGAAAGGACCTTTGGCAACCTTCAGCTGAAGGACAGCAATGTGTATCAGGACCACTACCACCACCACCACCGCCCCCACAGCATTGGCAGCACCAGCTCCATCGACGGACTCTACGACTGTGACAACCCGCCCTTCAATGCCCAGTCACGGTCCATTGGGAAGAAGCCCTTGGACCTGGGGTTGCCCCCTGCCAAGCACAGCCAGCTGGGTGACATCTATGGCAAGTTCTCCTTCAAGAGTGACCGCTATGGGGGCAGTGGGGCCCATGATGATTTGATTCGTTCAGATGTCTCTGACATTTCCACCCACACGGTCACCTACGGCAACATTGAGGGTAATGCGGCCAAGCGTCGGAAGCAGCAGTACAAGGACAGCCTGAAGAAGCGCCCAGCCTCTGCCAAGTCCCGTCGGGAGTTTGACGAGATAGAGCTGGCCTACCGCCGGCGACCACCTCGCTCACCTGACCACAAGCGCTACTTCAGGGATAAAGAAGGGCTACGGGACTTCTACTTGGACCAGTTTCGGGCAAAGGAGAACTCACCACACTGGGAACATGTGGACCTGACGGATATCTACAAAGAGAGGGGAGATGAGTTTAAGCGTGACACGGTAGGAGGAAGTGGCGGGTCCTGCACCAACAGGGCACACCACAAGCATGGCTCGGGGGAATTCGGTGGAGGCAACGAGCACAAGCATGGTGTTGTGAGTGGAGTTCCAGCGCCTTGGGAGAAGAACCTTACCAACCTAGACTGGGAGGACCGGTCTGGGGCTAATTTCTGCCGTGCTTGCCCTTCTAAAGTGCACAACTATACCCCAGCGGTGGTAGGGCAGAACTCCACCCGCCAGGCCTGCATCCGGTGTGAGGCCTGCAAGAAATCAGGAAACCTGTATGACATCAGTGAGGACAACTCTCTCCAAGAGCTGGACCAGCCACCTGCCCCCGTGCCCGTGGCCACCAGCGCCACCTCCTCCTCCAAATATCCTCAGAGCCCTTCCAATTCTGCCTCCAAGGTGCAGAAGAAGAACCGCAACAAGCTCCGTCGGCAGCACTCCTATGACACCTTTGTGGACCTGCAGAAGGATGATTCGGCCCTGGCACCCCGCAGCGTCAGCCTCAAGGACAAGGGCCGCTTTTTGGAGGGCAGCCCCTATGCCCACATGTTTGAGATGCCAGCCAGTGAGACCACCTTTGCCAACAACAAGTCCTCAGTGCCCGCCACCAGCTACCACCACCACAACAACCCCGGCAGCAGCGGGGGTTACATGCTCAGCAAGTCGCTCTACCCTGACCGGGTCACTCAAAACCCTTTCATCCCCACTTTTGGGGATGACCAATGCTTGCTCCACGGCAGCAAATCTTATTTCTTCAGGCAGCCTGTGGTGGCAGGAGGGCCCAAAGCTAGGCCAGACTTCCGAGCCATCGTCACCACCAACAAGCCGGTGGTTTCAGCCCTTCATGGGGCTGTGCCAGCCCGTTTCCAGAAGGACATCTGTATAGGGAACCAGTCCAACCCCTGTGTGCCTAACAACAAAAACCCCAGGGCTTTCAATGGCTCCAGCAACGGGCATGTTTATGAGAAACTCTCCAGTATTGAGTCTGACGTTTGAGTGAGAGGGGAAGAATGCGGGGAGGAACCGGGGGTGGATATGGAGCGTGGGAGGGTGGGGTGGGAGCAGTCCCATCAGCTACTCTCCTGGGTCGTCCTTAGTTTGTGGGATACTGGAGTTCTGTATAAGGCAGCACTGGTGACAAGTGCCACCTCTTTGGTTTCCCCTTTTCCTCCTCCCCTTCCCCACTCCTTCCCTTTTATCTCTCTTTCCATGTTCTCGCTCCTTCCATTCTCCTCCATTCCTGGCCATTGCACTTTACAGTGACTTCGGAGTTGGATATCCTCGCTCGCTCATGACAGAGAAGGGGTGAGGTGAGAGGGAGCAACAGTGACTCTAGTGTTTCACTCTCACTGACTCCCATCAAAGAAAGGCATGTGCACGCACACATGTGTGTAGCAGGAGGAGAGAGCAAAAGCAGTGTAATGGACATGCAGGAAAATATGCTTGCTCAGGCAACTCTTCCTAATACTGCCTAGAAGAAAGTAATGTTTGAAGATGTGGAGAAAGTGAAGGGGAATAACACAACTAACCTGATGATGCACTTACATGTTAGTTATTCTGAGGTTCTCGTTACATTATTTTGTGAAGACTATGGGGGTTTAGGGCTGAAATATATATATATATTATATATATATTTGCGTATATGCTGAGAAATTTTACGCTAAAACTTTGAAATGTTTGCTGGGGAATGTGGGGGGGGTGGGAGAGGAGAAGGGTTGTCTGCAGGTCTGGCTAGTTGTTTCACTATGACTATTATAGCCATTGGATCTGTGACAGATCAGTGGGAGAGTTGGAAAGGAAGCAGGCTGTGAGTGTGGAAGAGCAACGTTGGAATCAGGGAGGCTTCTGGGAGCTCTAATACATGATGCTGGTTTGCACTGAAATGACAGGAGCCTGGGGATAGAGGAGCAGGGCTGGTTTGCTAGCTATGAATTGCTTGGTAGTTGTGACATACTTCAAGGGTGGGAGCAGTGTATAGTATGGGTTAGCCTGTACGTGAGTATATACAATAATTTTATACTTGAAATGTCTGTGAATAAACCCACAATCCTGTAAGATGTCTGGATAACAAACACAATAGAACAGAGCTAAATCGCATAGAGCAAAGATGGGGAGGTTTGTCACTGTCACTTCAGGGCACACCATGCCTGTTTTGGCATATCTTTTTGGCAAGGAGGGCAGGACAAAGAAAGGGTTAATCTTTGTGCTCTCCTACCCTTGGCCAGCAGGTTGAAATAAGAGGAACAGGGTGCCCTCTGCCAATACTGGCAAGGTGCTGGAGAAGGAACATGCTATAAAGGGTTTGTGTGGTTATGGTAATGTTGGTGGACTGTTTCAATGCCTCCTTGCACAAGTGGAAATGGGAGGAGGGTGTGTGCACCCATGGGGAACTTACGTGTATATTTACTATTGAATGTACAGGGGAAGGACATGGCTTGTCTTCCTGGGAGAGGATGGGCTTGAATAAATGCCAGGGAGCACAAAAACTTGTGCCGAGGCTGAAGACAAGACGTGCAAGGCTGAGACGTGTGTGTACATGTACGTGTGCATCTGCGTGTGAGAGATACTAGCACAGGTGCGAAGCTGGAATAGCCTAGGGTGTCCCATCCCTGCAGTTGTAGTGACAGCTTTCCTGGTGCACCTAGTATCAGTAAGAATGTTTTTTTCTTTCCATTGTATCACTTTAGATGCAAGTGAAACTAAACAAAAAGAAGCAATGGTAGGAGTGAGGAGTTCAACTCCCCTTTCATTTGTCTTCTTTTCCCGGAGAATCTGAGGTGGGAGCGTGGGCTGACCTCTCCCATATTGAGACATGTGGCAAAGTCCCTCCTGTTTTTCCTGGGTCTGTCCTACCAATGTCTTAACAACCCATGACTCCCCAGGGAGAGGGTTGAAAGGGCCCTGTGTTAATGGCATGGGGACACTCCTGGGGACTGATGCTGAACAGTGATGGCAGCCATTTATTTGAGCCACATTTCTTGGAGGTGAAAGCCACCTCTCTCTCATTCCTCACCGCACCCTGGTTGATTTTATCTTATCTTGCTCTTTTTAAGCCAACAGAAGGCCTTTTATTTATTTACCTATTTATTAATTTATTTTTTAAAGCTGGGGCAGGGAGAGGATGGGATTTGCCTGTAAAGACTTGTGAGGAGAGGGAGGGGCAGGGTTGATGAGGGGAATATTTCCTTAGATTTCATGGAGGAAATTAAGGAGAGAAGAGGGAGAGAGTCTTTGTAATGTATTTGTAATGCCACCCCTTAGTCTTTGGGGTAAGGAAATTTCTTATTCTTTCCCTCTTCTCTCATTATAATGACAAAAGAAAAAAAAAAGAAAAAAAAAAAAAGAAAAAAGAAACCAAACCTGTTAACAGAGCGATCTGCAATCCAGAACACACAGCGGCTTGTCAGATGCCTCTGACAGCAGCCACCAAGAAGGCGTTCCTTTCATTTGTAAATATTTCTTTTTTAATGCGTTTTTGTATAAATTGGTGTTTCTCTTCTCGTGAATATTCAGGTTGTGGGGTGGGAGGGGGGGAGTTTGTTTCCGTTCTGTTTGTTTTCTATGACTTTTCAGGCTGCGTTTTTGGAAGCGGTTTACGCGGGTCGAGGCCGTATGAATGAGGAAAAAAAAATGAGAGAGAGAGAAAATCCATGTGTGCTGTGTTCCCCCAAGGCCCCCCCCTGTCACCTTTATCTTCATGAATGGAAGACGCCGGAACGTCACTTCAAGCCTTGCCAGCAGGGTTTCATGTTATGATGGGAACACCCCAAATCCTTTTTGCATAAAAACTCTCTGTACCAGCATCTCTCTGTGGAGTTTGGGCCTCAAGGCATTACACTGTCTTGATAGTGGTGGGGTGAACCATGAAGTTGGCCGCTCAGGTTGGACCATCACTTGACATTAAGAGACTTCTCCAATGCTACTTTGGTTTAGAAATCTTGGACCTGGGAAAGCTCATGAGAATTTCTGGTATTTCATAAGGGCTTGGGGGGGAAGCTTAACAGCTGGCAAGGGCAGCTAATCTCTATGGCGGTTATTTCAATACTTTCCGTCCCTCTCCACCTGGAACGAGGAAACCTGGAGGGTGGCTCTGCAGGGAAATTAAGCCGAAAACAAACCAAAAAGAAGTTAACGGAACTTTTTTCGAATCTCTTCTTAAAGGTTCTGAATTTTGTGTTTCGGGGTGCAAGTTGGTTCGCATTTTCTCCGAACTGGTCTGTCCCTTGTTCCACTGATTGGCAAATGACAGTTTGCCAAAATCATTATCTAGTGTTGATACTGTGTAGCACTGTTAACACTCTGAGCGCTCTGCAAATATTAACTGTGCCACAAACCACTCAAATGAATGCTCTAGGGCAACCAGAAAAGAAGGATTGGAAATTCTGGACTGAACTACTGGTCTAACTGCAGGAGTCTGGTGTTTTGCCTTCTCCCATAATAAATTAGGCCATGTGTCCATCAGGTTAATCCTTTCTCCTGTAAGTGATCTTTTCTGGTTGCTTTATTTATTTTAGTTCTAACAGGTCAAGAAGTTTTGGGACAGAGGTGAAGGGGAGGGTCTGGGAGGGGGAGGGTGTGATTCATAATCCAGAAATAAATCAGTTATGTTATTAAACTCTGATTATATATTTAGAATTTTAGATTTGGTGTATTTTCATTCTAAGTATTCAAGTGAGTCAATCAGGTAATATTAGTAGCAGGTGTTGTCTCTACTAGAGTACCACCTTGTGCTGCTTATTACCTATCCAAAAAAGGAATGGGATTTCATAGGAGAGCCTGACAAAATTCCATGTCCCTCCCTTGCCATTTCTCTCTCTCTCTCCTGTAGAAACACCAGTATTTTCTGGGGCAATGACTGGGAACATTTTCCCACTCTGTAAGTTTCTGCACACAAGAAAAATGAGCAAAAACCATTCCGTCCTCTACAGTTCGATGACCTCTACTATATATTTGCAGCCAGTCTCCTGGGAAATAATAGGTACCTTTGGCAATGTTTCTGACATATGCTTCCTCACTCTAGCCCCAGGCATGGCTCTTTTAGAGGTATTTGCATGAGCCATGCTCTTCTGAAGCAACACTGGAGTGTATATACTGAAGGAGGATGTGAGGAGAAGGAGACGGAGGAGGAAATATTCCAAAAATATTAGAAATATGCCATGCACAGTGGAAGGCAGCTGGAAGGTAGAACTTGCAGCCATGGATCTCCACATAATAAACCTTCTTGGAGTACTCACACCGTTTTTTTACTGTAGCATGACACAATAGGCTGGTGTAGCACTTCTTTGTCTCCTACCATGCCCTCCAGTGAGGGCAATCCCAAAACTTGCCATTTTTCATCGTAAATAGGGAAGAAAAACTGCAGTCAGGACTTGTTGTCGTTCAAGACAATGAAGCACACTGGTCCCACCTCCTCACCCCCCCCAAAAAAAAAAATCCTATTCTGATATCAGCATGCTCCGTCAGAATTCTCCAAGCGAGAACCCTAGTGGGTTCAAACTGTTCAGCAATATGCAAGTATGGACTTCGCCCACTGGAAATTGATACTCAATTTCCATTGCGTAGGGGGAGCAAGATTCCTTTGTGATGTCCTGAAGGATTTGGTGGAAGAGTTAGAGTTGCCAGGATGGGCCTTTTTGCTTCTGACTTCGTCAGCAATGCATGCTGATGTTGAACTCCTCATTCCAAGAAGACACTAGCATCCATCTTGAATAAAACCCCTTTGTACCTTCAAATCAGGGTTGTTTCTCACACCAACATTGCCAGCAAAAGAAAAAGGGGGAGGCAAAACATATATGACAGTGACAGGTTAGAGTGATCAGAGATACCTCAGGGATCTTTATAGGCAAGTCTTTGCTTTAGAGCTTTCTATCAAACATGGCATATCCTCCCACTTCCATAGCTTATCAACAGATGGAAGCAAGCCTGGGAACACGGCCAGTGATCAGACTTAGGCCTTTCACACATCCTCTACTCGAGTCAAACAACCTTTGATGAGCCCTTCCCATGGAGAAGGGTGGGAGGTTG